TTTATTTCCAGATTTCATTTATTTTTAATTTACATTTATTTCTGTGTATATTTGGGGAGGAGATATTTTATCGAGTACATTGCGAGAGGACAGAGAGCTGGGCCATGACTAGTGTACCACCTGCAGCCTGATGAGGTGTTTTAGAGAACCCGAACTTGCACATGGTCAAGGGGGCTGTACAAAGTAGGGCGGGGTGGGGGTGGGGGGCTGCAAGGCCTTTCAGCCCTTACAGGAGGATGTCACCTAGTGTTGCCTGGGAAGCCAGCCCTGCCCTCTTAGGAACGCTAACGTGGGGCTCCTCAGGACCATGGACAGCGCCGGGCTGTGGGACGCCTTTCTTTCCCTGCCTTTCTGGTGTCCCAGTCTTGTCAGTAAGATCTGAAGAGCAGAGCTGAGTTCTCCCCGCTCCCACCTGTGACATCTGCGTGCACTCATGGGGGACCTGCAGCCCACTCCTCTGTTCTTTTCCCAGCTTTTGTATTGATTCCGTCCTTTCCTTTTTCATCCAGTGTCTTCCTGAGCCAGCTCGCATCTGTCTCTAATGCTTTCTCGTTTATCATCCCACTCCTTCTCAGCCCCAGTTTTTAAAAATCTTAGGTGTATGCGTGCCTGAATATATGAGTTCACCACACGAGTGTAGTTACCTGCAGATATTAGAAGAGGGATCCCTAGAACTGGAGTAACAAATGGTTGTGAGCCACCATGTGGGTGCTGGTGACTGAACCCAGTCCTCTGCAAGAACACCAAGTGCTCTTAGGCACTGGGCCATCTCTCCACCCCCTCCCAGTCCCATCCTGACTTCTCATCTCTCCTGGAGGATGCAGAAATGAGTGACATGTTTTCAGCCCTTTTACCCCATTGCATCATGTTAAGAGCCTTTGTCCCTCCCTGTCCCCCTCAGGACAAAGTAGTGTATGTAAGGTTGGAGAATGTAGGCTGAGGATACAGCTCAGCAGTACTGCTCTTGCCTAGCATGTGTGAGGCCCTGGGTTCAGTCCCAAGGAAGTGGGGAGAGAGAATTAATGTGGGGTCTACAGCCCAGTTTCTGAAGTCAGTAGAACTGGTTTTGATGCGATTATGCCACTGACCTATTGTGTCTTATTAGTTACTTCAAATCTGCTTCCTTATCTATAACATGGGATGATTCTTGCTCCTAAGAATGTAGTGCCTGATGAATTGAGCAAGGGCTCAGTGTTTGATTGACAGACTGTGAAGGTAACAGGTATAGTTATAATTGGACCCTTGGGGCAATCCTCCAGCAGACAAGGCAAAGGGCACAGATACATTGATTCCTACAACGCCTGGCAGTAAGTGCCCACCCACAAATACTTAAACCCAAGCAGTGGGCACCGAGTTGGAAATTATGCAGTACAGAGAGACCCAGCTTCTGTTACACAGCAAGACCCTGTCTCAAATTATGGGGTCTGTGAGATGGCTTGGTCGATTAGGAAGCTTGCAGCCCAATCTGAAGACCTGAGTTGGATCTTCAAGGACCCCTGCTCTCACTGTATGCACATGTGTACACACACACACACACACACACACACACGCAGACACACACACACACACACACACGCAGACACACACTAAAAACAAACTTTATTACACATGAGATACTTAATGTGGCCAACGGAAAGGACGTTCCACAGGGCACCGCAGGCTGACCTGAGAGTACCCGGGAAGTAGCCTGTGGAACCACAACACCCACAAGGCTTCGCGGCACTTCCGGTTGGTCCTGAGTATGAGGTTGGTGATTGGTTCTCTGTGGGCACGCCTCAACCCGGAAGTAATCTCCGCAGGTCCATGTGTAATGGAGAACCGGGAGTTTGGAAGCATAGGACGTGGATCCTAGGGCCCGTGGACAGGTTGGTCCCGAGCCACCAACAAAACTGCTGTGACCTCGAAGACTGTTGAGGGCGCAGCTGCACCTCGCCCCACCCCATGGAGTCTACGTTCAGCAGCCCCGCCGAGGAGGCCCTTCAGCGGGAGGCGGGCGTCCCAGGACTGTTCACCCCGCCAGAAGACCTCGACCGAGTGTACGAGCTGGAGCGAGTCGCGAAATTTGTCTGCGACTTAGGGTGTCAGCGGGTGAGGGCCAGCTTAGAAAGGGAGGGTTGGTTCGCCTCTGGGCATGGACTGAGAGCTTGGGATTTGGGCTGCTACGTGAGGACTGGTGTGTTGAAGTCGGAGTCCGCCCGCGTCGAACGGACCACCGCCACTCCGTGGGGCGGAGTGTCCCTCCGGAAGTAGGATCTTCGAAACTTGAGTGTTTCTTTCGTAGACGCTCTTGGTGGAGGAGTTTGGTTGTTGCTGACTTTATGGTTGTGTTTACAGGTGGCCTTACAGTTCCCTGACCAGTTACTGGGAGATGCCGGAGCCGTGGCTGCGCGGCTGGAGGAAGTCACGGGATCTAAGATGTTCATTTTAGGGGACACGGCCTATGGCAGGTATGAACTTGTGCTGGGAGTAAGTGGTCAGGTCTGAGGATCCAGGCCCCGTGGGGTTTCCTTGCTGACAGTGTCTGCCTCCAGTGACTGTTTGCATAATGATGAGACGCTCCTAATGCCAGTTTCCCCGCAGTGACAGTGAATTCCTAACATGTTCCCATCGATGACAACCCTTTCCGGGTAGGGAACACCTCTCACCAACACTCTCTCTCCTGCAGCTGCTGTGTGGATGTTCTGGGTGCTGAGCAGGCTGGCGCTCAAGCCCTTGTCCACTTTGGTCCTGCCTGCTTGAGCCCCCCTGCCCGCCTGCTGCCTGTCACCTTCGTTCTGGGTCAGCGTTCTGTTGCCTTAGAGCTCTGTGCAAAGGCCTTTGAAGCCCAGAACCCAGATCCCACAGCACCGGTGGCACTGCTGAGTGAGCCAGCTTGTGCCCATGCCCTAGGTGAGAAATTATACCTGCGACGGAAGGAGGGGTAGGTCCGTGGCTGCATGCCTTAATTTACCCCATTGAGCACACTTCCACAGAGCTCCTGATAGCTGCTTAGCTTAGTTTGTGCTTAGGGTCACATTTAGTCACCTGGGGATTAGTTTGTGCTAAGGGTCACTTTTAGTCACCTGGGGACGAGGCATCTCCTGCTTTGCCTCACTTCAACTCTGATGCCATCTCCTTCTCTTTCAGAGGCTTTGGCCACTCTCCTGCGCCCCAAGTACCAAGATCTGCTCATCTCCAGCCCAGCTCTTCCCCTGCCAGTGGGGTCCCCAAGTTCACAGCCTGAGCCCCTGGAGCGTTTTGGACGACGCTTCCCCCTGAGCCCAGGAAGGTGCCTGGAAGAATATGGTGCCTTCTATGTGGGAGGTTCTCAGGCCAGCTCTGACCCCATCCTCGATCCGGATCTGAGCAGACTGCTCTTGGGATGGACACCAGGACGGCCCTTCATTTCCTGCTGTCCAGACACAGGACAGACCCAAGACCAGGGTGCCCAGGCTGGGCGGCTAAGAGCACGAAGACTGTATCTTGTCGAGAGGGCCAGGGATGCCCGTGTCGTAGGGCTGCTGGCGGGCACATTGGGTGTAGCTCAGCACCGCGAGGCCCTGGCACACTTGCGGGAACTGACAGAGGCCGCTGGAAAGCGCAGCTATGTATTGGCCCTGGGGAGGCCCACGCCTGCTAAGCTTGCCAACTTCCCTGAGATGGACATCTTTGTGCTTTTGGCCTGTCCTCTGGGAGCCCTAGCCCCCCAACCTCCAGGTGGCTTCTTGCGGCCTGTGTTGACACCATGTGAACTGGAGGCTGCCTGTAACCCTGCCTGGCCACCTCCAGGCCTGGCTCCCCACCTCACACATTATGCAGAGCTGTTGCCCGGTGAGTGGTGGGGGCCCGCATCTCAGCTTGAAAGTTGGGGCTCGGAGTCAAGGAGCCGGGATAGCTATCTTTTCTGTCCATTTCAGGCTCGCCCTTCCATGTGCCCCTCCCGCCACCTGAGTCCGAGTTGTGGGACACCCCAGACGTGTCGCTCATTTCTGGGGAACTCCGACCGCCACCTTCTTGGAAGGCATCAAATGGCACTGGGTGTTCTGCCCTCACTCCAAGGCCCCAGCTGGAGCTGGCTGAGAGCAGCCCTGCGGGTAAGTGTGCTAATATCTGCCCCTGCTAGCTTCTTGTCCAGGTCCAGCCCACACAGCTTGTTCTCATTCCTTCTACAGCTTCGTTCCTTAGTGCCCGGAGCTGGCAGGGGTTGGAGCCCCGCTTGGGCCAGACACCAGTGAAAGAAGCTGTCCGCGGAAGACGGGGTATTGCCATTGCCTATGAGGATGAGGGGAGCAGCTGACGCCATCCGTGGCCAGTCACAGAGAGACACATCTGCGGCCGCGTGCTCCCTGAACCAGCGTCTCGTCCTCTCGCACTGATGCTTGAAGGAGCCCGGACAGAGGGCATGCAGGTAGCTCCTCCCCGAGGTGCTGTCTAGCCTGCCCTGGCTCTGCCTCAGCGCGCATCAGTGCAATAAACGCCGGTTAGACTGGTGGGGGAAAAAAGTTCCAGGGCTTTCCTGGGCCCATCTGTCAGCGGCCTGGGCCTGGGGCTGACCTCAGTTCCTGGTGTGCAGGTATAGTTCTGCCCTTGTTCAGGGCCAGGAGTTAGATGATCCAGACCAGGGTTCTTCCACCTCAGCACTGTTGGACATTCTGGGCAGAGTCGCTCTGTACTGCGGAGGCTATTCTGTGTATGGTGGGATGTTTAGCTTGAGCAGAAGCATCCCCACCCCCAAGCTATGACAACCCAGATTATCTCCAGATGTTGGCAGATGTAACTGCTTCTAATTGAGAACCACTCATCGAGACCCACACAAAGACAGTATTCATTAGACACATGGCTTTTGCAATTTTAAAGTGGATGAAAAACTCAGTTTCTCGGTTACACTGATCACATAAAGCGCTCACATGGCTACATGCGGGACAATCCTGTCACAGTACAAAGCTCTGTGGGACAGCGCCGGGCTATGCTGACGCAGACTTGTCTCTGGGGGGAACCAAAGAAACTCAAATAAACTGAAGACTTTTCCTCTTGTTTCTCTTTATTCATCACACCTCAATTCTATACAGTTCCTGTGGATGGATATGGGAGTTAGATTTAGCCAGATTCCTGTCCTCAAAGTGTGGTTGGGAAGGAATAGTGACCCCATGGAATAGAATTGTATGTGAAAAAGGGAGCCCCAAGGGCAGCTGGATCTCATAGCAGGCTCTTGAAGGGGACTTAAGAGGCATCCCAGACGGCAGTCCTAAGCTGGATCTTGTAGAGAAAAAAATGTTAGAATAATATGAGTGAAAAGAACATTTGGACCTAAACACAGACCAGTCAACATGGTGGGTGCTTCAACCAAAGTCGAGTTGCTGGGCTGGAGAGGTAGCTTGGCAGAGTGCTTATGTAATGTGTAGGCCTAGGGTTTAATTCCCAGCAATGGTGTGTGTGTGTGTGTGTGTGTGTGTGTGTGTGTGTGTGTGTGTGTGTGCTGAACCCCAGGCCCTAGGATTTAATTCCCAGCACTGGGGTGTGTTTATTGAATCCCAGCAGAACTTACATATTGTTGTCCACATCACCCAAGAATCTTATATGGCACTGTCCAGATCATGTAGTGTCCAGGCTAATGGTAGAGGCGGAGCTGTAAACCGCCATGGGAACCGGGTTAAAGTGAGCACCAGTCATGTATTCTACCATGTCCGGAGGACCCATCTGTATGCCAGGCACTAGACACACAGTGAGTACAACAGAAACCATGGCGCTTCCACCTCCTGGGGAGGATAGACAGACAGACAGACACAAAACGTAGTATCTCAAGTGGTGATAAGATTACGGGAAAACAAAAAGCTGCCAAAGAGGAAGGGTTGTTAGAGAGAGGAGTTGGAAATTACACAGAATGGGTAAGGAAGGCCTTTGAAGGTGAGCAAAGACTGGAAGCTAGAGAGTGGGGCACATGAGGAACTAGAAACAGGGTGAACAAGTGTTAAAGAAACGAGGGCGGCCATGACTGACCAGGAGTAGCTAGGAGGGTAATCTGGCCGCAGAATGCGTGAGGCGCCTGGGAGCACAGTAGCTTTGCACACCGTATTTCTGAGTGAACTAGGAACCAAGGGGCATTTGAGCAGGAGAATGGCATGGCCCTGGAAGCACCACCTGGACATCGTGGGGGCTCACAGCGGGCACTCCACCCTGCCTCTGGATTGGGAAAGGCAACCTAGAATGACCTCTGATGTTCGCCAGTGTGAAGGCCATGAAATCCTCCTTCAAGCAGAGGGAACGGTCCAGCACCTTCCTAGAACTAGGTAGGACTGGAAAAGACCGGAAGGATCTGCAGCGGTTGGAGAATAAACGGCAAGTCCACTGGGCAGGTTAGGGAACTGGCGGCTCAGGTGGAGAGCCCGTACCTGGCGAGGAGAGCGCCGGGCGAGACTACAACTACCACAGTGCTCCGCGGCACGACGTCGGCCGCGGCCCGACCGCAGCCAGCCAGCCACTGCGCGCGGGGGTCACGTGAGCCGGCGCGTCACGTGCGTCGGTCAGGTGGAACTGCGGGGCGGGCCCAACAGACTGCGGGGCGGACGGTGGTCTCCGTGCTCTCCCAGGTCCCACCGATCCGACCTCTGCCGTCGCTGCTGCCATGACGGGGCTGGCGCTGCTCTACACCGGGATCTTCGTGGCCTTCTGGGCCTGCATGATCGTCGTGGGTGAGCGGGGCTCGGGCTGGCGGGGCTGGCCGGCTGGGGCGGGGGCAGGTGGCAGCCAGAGCCGGCCCGGCGCCGTGCCCTACCGCAACCTGGGAGGCCGACCCCGGGCTGGGAGAGCCACGCTGGCCCTTCCAGGGCCGTGACTGCCGGCCCCTTCTTGTCCTCGAGCCGCAGACTTGGGCGCCCTGCTTCCTCTTTTCTCTCCTTGCCCTCCCCCTTCTCGGCTTGTTGGGTAAACAGCAACTGGGCCGGCGGGATCTGGCGCGGCCCCGGGCGCAGCGCTTGTTCCCCTCCCTCCGAACCCCCCACCCTCGCCCGTGGAGGGGTTTGGTGTCATTGAGGAAGGCGGGTTACCTAGGGAGTGGCAAAGAAAAAAAAAAATGGAGGCCTGGGCGGAGGTGCTGTTTCGCCCCGGGATTCTTCCGAGATAGATGTGTCAGGCAGTTGGGCAGTGTCTCTCGAGGTTGGAGAATGTGCCTCCGAAGTGCAGCCCTTGACTCCTCTTCTCGTTGCTGCAGGAATCTGCTACACCATTTTTGACCTGGGTTTCCGCTTTGATGTGGCATGGTAAGGGATTCTCCTAGGAGCCGCTCTCTTTGTGGAGTTTGAGCCCCAGCCCGGCTCTTCAGACACACAGACCTTTGGAAGTCCAGGACTGGTGGGCTGGAGCTGGGTGGGAGCTGAGCTGGTGTGCTCTCTCCAGCCGTGCCCTTTCCTGACCACAGCCGAATCGCTTTCTTCCCTCTTCCCACACTAGGTTCCTGACCGAAACTTCTCCCTTCATGTGGTCGAATCTGGGCATTGGCCTAGCGATCTCCCTGTCTGTGGTCGGAGCAGCCTGGTGAGTGTCGGTGGGACTAGTGAGTGGCAGGCTCTGAGTCGTGGCCCGTGGTTGTCACTGGGTTCTTAATCATCCTGGGGACAGTGACTACTTGGGCTCCTTTCATCCGTTTCTTACCCTTCCTCCAGGGGCATCTATATTACCGGTTCTTCCATCATTGGGGGTGGGGTGAAGGCCCCCAGAATCAAGACCAAGAACTTGGTTAGGTAAGTCTGAGGGCTTTGGGTTGTCAAAACCAGCTGTGATGGGGGTCTGGTGACAGTCTGGCTCCTGACCAGTCTGTCATCGTGAGTCAAGGAAAGTTGGCTGGGGATTTTCTGAAGAAATGGCTGATTTCCTTCTCACCTCTTTTCTCCACCCCGCCCCTCACCTTTACCATTACTATCGACAGCATTATCTTCTGTGAAGCTGTGGCCATCTATGGCATCATCATGGCAATTGTCATTAGCAACATGGCTGAGGTAAGAGAAAAGCAGAGGGCAAGGCATCCATCCCAAGGGTTTATGCTTTACCTAAAGATTGGAGGAGAGGGAAGGTAGGTGCACTAGGGGATGGTTTCTGATGGTCTGTTCTCCTCAGCCTTTCAGTGCTACTGACCCCAAGGCCATTGGCCATCGAAACTACCATGCAGGTGAGTGGGTAGCAAAAAGCTCGGTCTTGCCAGGCATGGTGGTATGGGCCCTTTTATCCCATGACTGGGAGGCAGTGGCAGGCAGGGTTAAGAAGCCAGCCAGCACTACATAACTGCACAGTGAGGCATCCTCACACCCTTATCTACACACTCGCTCCGAGCTCCGACTTCCCAGCTTCAGACTCCTAGATTCTCAGCTGCTTGGCCTGCTTTACAGAGTTGGGGTGGGATGGCCCATCAGCCCGTGGGGCGGCATCTCCTGTGCTTGTCTTGGCCTCACTCGAGCTGCCTTTTATCCTCCAGGCTACTCCATGTTTGGGGCTGGCCTCACAGTCGGGCTTTCCAACCTGTTCTGTGGAGTCTGCGTGGGCATCGTGGGCAGTGGGGCCGCCCTAGCTGATGCACAGAACCCCAGCCTCTTTGTAAAGATTCTCATCGTGGAGATCTTTGGCAGTGCCATTGGCCTTTTTGGGGTCATCGTCGCAATCCTTCAGGTGCTGAATTCCCCCTGGGAACTGTGGTCTTTGTCCTTGTCCCCAGCCCTACTCTGCTTTGAGCATTAGAAGCCCCTCCCTCCCCCACCCGTAACTGTGGAACCCTTCCCATCTCCTGGTTCCCCGTCTGTTGCTTTGTGTTTATCTCTCCTTTAGCCCCTCTATTTCCATCCTTTCCCTCTCTGCTGCCGCCTCTGGAAATGTCTTCTTTGTGATAAAGCCTGGGGTGGGATATCTGTGACAGTCTTGACTTGATAGGCACTTGGGTCTATGTGCATATTATATGTACGTGGCATGCCTGTCAGTAGACTGGCATGTCTGAACTCTGTATTTTGTCAGTGTGTGGGTTTGTGACTAAAAGACCAACCTGAAGGTCTAAACATGACTGGGTTGACTCTTGGGGACACTGGCACTATCCATGCCTGTCTGTTATAGTGTGTCTGTCCTTGTACGGTCATCTGTGGTCTGTCTATCCACCTACTGTCTTGCTGGTTCTCATCACTGCCGCTGCCTGATCTGTCCTGTTCTTCTTTTGCAGACCTCCAGAGTGAAGATGGGTGACTAGGTGATCTGAATGATGGGGCCGTGCCTCGCTGTTATTTATTGCTGGTTTTCCTGGGACAGCTGGAGCTGTATCCCTTAGCCTTTCCTGGGCTTGGTGTTCAGGGCCCTCCTGCACTCACCTCCGGCTGCCTGTTGACTTCGAAGGCATTGCAGTCCAGACTGAACCCCGGTGTGGGGGGTGGGCTGCTGATGGTGACTGTGTACAGCTGTGCACCTGTGTCCTCTACCCCCCATCCAGCCCATCTTCCTAGTGTTTGTGAAATAAACGTGTTATTTGTCCCGGTCATGGAGGCTTCTGTTGGCCCTTTGCGACACCTCTCACAGAGGAAGGGTAGGGCCTGTGCGCTCACGTCAACCTCTTGTAACTTTCTATCTCTGTACACACCATCTCTGCTCTGGACAGTGCTAGCCTCTGGGTGGTGAGGGCAGGGCGCTAGGCTGACTATAGCAGGGAGCCTCTTCCTTGAAAAGTCTCAGCTCGAGGATCTTCCTAGCCCTATGCCCTTGGACCCTTATGCACTGGACCCAAGTGAATTAGCTAATTAGTTCACCTTTCAGGCTTCGAACTCCTGAGACTCCCTACAGCTTGTCTT